TAAAGTGACCTTCAAAAAGAATGGTAAACATTAAATGATGTGAAGTGCACGGCTAGGACAAGTGCGTAACAGGCGCCTAGAGGCAGGACTGACATTCCATAAAGCAAGGCAGAAGCCCTTCATCAATGAGAAACAGAGAACCAGAGAGCCAGGTTGGAGTATACAAATAATGTGTATTTTACACAGAAGCATACCAATAAATTGAGCAATGAGTTAAACTAAAAAATTTTCTGTGGTTTCTTAATTTCTTCCAGAGCTGTGTGTGTGTGTGTGTGTGTGTGTATATATATATATATATATATATATATATATATATATATATATATNATATATATATATATATATATATATATATATATATATATATATATATATGTATGTATATATATACAGTATATATATATACACACACACACACAGAAATATATATATATATATACACACACACACAGACACAGAAATATATACGTATATACATATATATCTGTGATGTCTTCTGTTTTGTGGATACCATTATTAAACCATACCTGTATGTTGATGCAAAGATCAGAAATTTTATTTCTCAATTTTCACATAATGGTGACAAAAAAGTTAAATTGGGAAGAATATCAGAAGCTGTCATGACCTCCATCATGTCCCATTTGACTAGCAGGTTCTGGCCATCCCATAATCCCATAATCCTGTAATTTTTTCTGACCTAATGTGTCAACTCTTTACAACTGTCTTTGGTTTGTCAATTGTGATATGTGTATATAGGTTCCTGTCCAGTCGTTTACTTTTGTCTTGTCAGTACCCAGTCCTAGGCTATCTCTGTGTTCCACACCTTTCTGAATCACACTCCTTTTTTGGTTTGATGACTCATACTCCCTTTGGTTTTCCTTTTATTAACTGTTTTGAGTCCAATTGAGCTCTAACTTCACAAAGCACCAATCTGTTTGTTGATGGTCCCTCTCTCATGTCCTTCCGGTTGAGACAAAATCATTAAAAATGTTATTGCTGCATGTAATTTTATAATTCCTCGCTGTAAACAAAAAAAAAAATATGCCATGATCTAAAATTCTTTGGTAATTTTTTTAGGAATTCAAGAACAAAATCTAATGTCATCCTATGTTGAATCTCCAGACCCCTTCAAAATCGCAGATAGGGAATACATACATTTATATACATATATATATTTTTGGGATTGGTCTGCCACCGCTTCCACTGCAGATACTTAGCTCTTTAGAGAAACAACTCAAAATGAATTTCACAGATTTTTATCAAACTTTCTACGGCGGAAACCTGGAAGTCCTCAAATTTTGAGACAAATTGCACCAAAATTGCAGCAGTGCCACACAGTGGCAGCCAGGGGTGGAAACAACTTCTCTGGAGGCCCTAGGCTAACATGGGTAAGGGGTCCCCAAAGTGGGCCATATGATCAATATATTATTCATATTTTAAAAATAATTAATTAAACACACTTTAAAGAACATTCGTAAATGTATTTTATTGATGTGAATGCTTGCTGCAGTAGTAAAGGTGAACTTGAAACTTATGGGGTAGCTTGAAACTGCTTCATCACAATTGCATCATTAGCCAAACAGCTGAGCAATGCATCACAAGGGGAAGAGATTGGGCACTGCTTTGGCATTTAGTTTTTTCTTTGTTTACCATCCCATCCAGTATGGATAGATCTAGAGTGGAGTGGCGGCTCTAAGGTTAGGGATCTGTACTGACAACTGGGAGGTTGCTGGTTCAAATCCTGTGAATGCCCCGAGTGATTCTACTCTCAGAGCAAGACCCTTATCCTGCAGTTGTTTCATCCTGGGTATGATGTTAATCTACATCCAGCCCTATAAGGAGGTCCTCTAATTTAGAGGGAAAACTTTGGGGGTTGGTGGCAGGATTGGCACTCCAGCCACTGGGGGGGGAAAACTCACACTGGTCCATTTGGACTGGTGTGGTGCTGCACACAGGCTCTCCCTGAGGTGGTTTATCATGCGATGGGTGTGGCAACACACTGCATCAGTGCATGTTCCTTACCTCTCTCCATCCAGGATATACCATGGTCTTTGGTGCCTTGGATAAGCTCTAGAAGGAAGATGGATGGAATTATTGCTTTTTATTTTATTCAGGGTGACTTTGATAGCAGACTCTCTTCTGGAATTATGAAGCAGCTCTTTTATGATAGACATGAAGCATTTATTCACGATGATTTTTGTAGGTTGTGTTATCCATGGTTAAGCAAAGTTAACTCTGGGTTAGGAAAAAATTTGAAACATAAAATAATAGTTTTTGATTTAAAAATTTAAGAGGACATATACTGTATATGATTCTGTATTTGAATGTAATTTCTGCTTAATTTTCAGAATTGTTTGAAATTAAATTGTATTTCAGTTCAGGTGTTACTTTGTACTGTCTTTACTCTGCCTGACCTAAAAAAGGTTGCACATTTTTATATTTAATTTGACTGCTTTTAACTTTGATTATGGTGCACATTCATCATGGCATTGTTTCTATGTGCTTATACAACATCTCAACATTTTTTTTCCATCTAGATTTGCATTCATTTCTCATTGTGTTGATGATAGGTGTGTTGAACCATGTAAAATCTTCTTCAACACATCTCAATGACTTTCAACGGGGTTAAGTTCAAGACTCTGTGGTGGCCAAATCATGTGTGAAAATGATTCCTCATGCTCCCTGAGCCACTCTTTCACAATTTGAGCCCAATGAATCTTGGCATTCTCATCCTGGAAAATGCCCATGCCATTAGGAATGGAAAAAATCAATTGATGGGATAACCTGGCCATTCAGTAGATTCCGGTACGCAGCTGACTTCACTTTATTGCTGCATAATGTTGCTGAGCTGTAATAATGATCCAGTCATTAGCTCTTAAGTACTTGCTGATTTAAATTCAAATGGTTACTTTTTTTTCAGCCAGTGAACTTTATCATCGAAAAGAGATATTTATGTAGTGGATTTTAGGAGATACTCCTCAGCACTGTCCATCCACAAAATATCCCTGAGTCCTTGAGTCACCTGTGGAGACCTTCAGGTTTCTACGAATCATCATTTCCCAAGACCTCAAGTGGGAGACCAGCATCAACTCCATCCTCAAAAAGGCCCAGCAGAGGATGTACTATCTGCGGAGAAGGACAATTGTCCTGTGTACATCCATCACAGTCTGGTTTGGAGCAACCACCAAACAGGACACAAACAGACTGCAGCAAACAATAGGGACAGCACAAAAAAACCATTGGTGTTCCTCTGCCCACCCTCCAGGACTTGAACTCTTCAAGAACCAGGATATAGGCAGGGAAAATCATTGCAGTTTCCTCACATGCTGGAGAAGTCTTTTTCAGCTTGTCCCCTTCAGAAGATGTAACAGAACCCTGTATACCAAAATGAACAGACACAGGAGCCGTTTCTTCCCTCATCAGCCTCATAAATAGCTGACCAGTATCATCTGCTGGGCCACAGCTACTCTTGTCTTTACACCCTGCCTCACATCTACAAATATTGTATTGTACAATCTCATTTCCATACATAATGATCACCGTTACTATTGGCACTTTATGTATATCATTTGTTTTGTGTTTAATCTCTGTATGGCTTGTATATTGTGTATTGTCTGTCTTCTTAGTAATTGAATCTCTTCATCTCTTAGGTGTTTCATTCAAACCCATTGCCACAGCACAACTGTGAATTCAAGCATAGTACTGTCAATGGATGCCACAGCTGCAATAAGTCAGTTCATGAAATTTCTTCCCTGCTAGATATTCCATTGTCAAATGTATGTGGTATTGTTGCAAAGTGGAAGTGTTTAGGAACAACAGAAACTCAGAAGTGGCAGGCCACGTAAAGTAACAGAGCAGGGTCCCTCTGAGGCACATAGTGTATAAAAGTTGCTAATGCTGTCTTGACTCAATAACTGCAGAATTCCAAAATTCCTGTAGCATTAACCACAGCACAGAAACTGTCAGTGGGGAGATTCATGGAATGGGCTTCCATGGCCGAGTAGCCGCATGCAAGCCTCACACCACCAAACGCAATGCCAAGCATCAGATGGAGTGGTGTAAAGCACGCTGCCACTGGACTCTGGAGCAGTGGAAATGTGTTCCGTCGAATGACAAATCACGATTCTTTGTGAGGCAGTTTGATGATGGATGAGTCTGGGTTTGGCAGATGCCAGAAGAATGGAACCTGCCTGACTGCATTGTGCCACCTGTACAGTTTGGTGGAGGAGGGACAGGCCCTTTAGATCCATTGAACGGAACTCTTCATGCTTCAGTATACCAAGACATTTTGAAAAATTCTACGCTGACCTCAACCCCATCAAATTCCTTTAGAATGAACTAGAACAGAGATTGTGAGCCAGGCCTTCAAGTCCAGCATAAGTGCCTGACCTCACAAATGCTCTTCTGGATGAATGGGCAAAAATTCCCACAGACACACTCCGAAGTCTTGCGGAAAGCCTTCCCAGAAGAGTGGCAGCTGTTATGGCTGCAAAGGGAGGACCAACTCCATAATGATGCTTATAGATTTAGAATACAATGTCATAGAAGTTCCTGTGGGTGTAATGACCTGGTGTTCTAATACATTGTTCCATATAGTGTATGTTCATTGTCAATATATTGTTTAACTTGAGAGACAGCACTGGTTGGAACCAAATTCCTTGTGTGGTGTAACATACTTGGCCAATAAATCCGAATCTGATCTTTGGTCTTGTTTTCCAAATTGAATATCTGTTAGCATTCATAGTAACTGTAACTTTGTGATGTAACTAGTTAATATTTGCTGCAATAATTGACAGTATAAAAAGATTTTGCCCATTGATTTTTTTTTTATTGATACCGCATTAAATATGCAAACTAGTATGCTTGTATTCAGTGAAAAAAACAACTGTGAATATTAAAATATACTTTGATCATTTTGAGTTCTGTTAAACATAGTCACATCATATAACCTATTTTTGCAAATATGAAATATTACATCAGTATCTAGTGTATATTCGATATACCCACAAAATGCTTCTTTTATTGACATAAATACTTAACACAGACAAATCGCAGACTTCACGATACACGTGCCACTTACTATAGCTTAAGATGCCTATAAAATACTGTTTCATAGGCAAAATAGCCTTTAAATTCCAGGTATTACTTTTGATATTGTTCATAATACAAGAACCAATAAGTCTGCATCGATCTACACATTTATTTTGAGATGCAGCCATGTGATGTTCCATAATCCAATTGCAAATTCAGCTATACTTACATAAAAAAACTGTTCCTTTATTGGTATGTTTCTAAATAAGAAATTATGAACATATGGAAGCAATTAGTTCACAAAAATGTGACAGTTTCCCTATACAGGGGACAGAAAGTTACAGCCACTGCCATTGATGAAAAGTCACTTTTACAATCCTGACTATAACTAAACTGCAATTCCTACATACTTCAAGATATTCTGCATATCATAATGACTCATATTCTAACAAGTATAGCACAAAAGGTGATTCAGAGGAAAACACTTTTGACTTCGTCCTGGAATATATCTGTTATATTCCTTGCCACGGTCATTTTTTAAATTATCACAATAACACAATATATGGCAAGGCCACAAGTACTAATACAATTAATACAAAACACATTACCACAAACAAAATTTAGACTTTAAAAAAGCCTATAAAAACCATACTGAATGGAAAACTGCTTTATTTTAAAAAGTTTTTCGATAACCATATAAAAGTTATTGCTGTTAATTCCATTTCAATATTTAACATTTACTGTAACATTTAAGTTCTACTGAAATGTTTGTGGGGTCTCTTTACAAAAACAAGAACTTCTATAATGATTTCTAAAATGATTTCTATGTGTGTCGTTGTACCGTATGTAAAATCATGTGATGCAATTCTTTTTCATTTTTAACAAAGTCAGTAAATACAGTACAACAGACACTGGTACTATTTTATTGTCAGCCTAGTCCTTTAATCCTCAACCTTGCGAGCAAGTCTGCAGAATGTCCAGTGATGTTCCACTGTATTCTCATTGGCCCGTTCACTCATGTGATGCACCCTAGTATTCCGTATGACAAAGCCTTGCTTAGTAATGAAGTCCATGAGATGGACTCTAAGAGATACTTCCTGGTGGTAGTCACATGGTCCGAAAGTGAAAGACACCTGGCAGTCCCTGGTGTCCATCATATGCTTATTCCACTTGGTGAAGTTGTTGGCAATACCCTCCAGAAGGGAATGTACCTTGGTGGTAATGGTCAGCTGGGTAATGATGACTGCTACTGGGTTGGAGTACTTTGACAGTTTACGTGTACTGGACAGCTCCACTACCTGCTCAAATGTGTCCAGTGGGTGAAGAGGTTTGGGATCATTTAGACACTGGATCAGAGGCTCAATCTGGTAGAAATCAGCCTCTTTGCGTAGGAGGTCTGTCTCTTTGAAGTCCACGGGAAGAGTGAGTTCAGATGTACGCAGAAAGTTCAGGACATAACGAAAGAGAGGTCCGTCACGGTCAATGAAGTAGTTGCCATGGGCATCTCGAGCAGAAGGGAAATCTCCGCGGAACATGGCCCCCAGCATTGAGTCAGGGTACCGCTGCAGAGTGGACAGTGAGGTGGTGTACAGGTGACCACCAACATTCAGAGTAACTGGATCAGTCATCTGAAAAAGGAAAGAAGGCCATATACACACAGTAATCATTACAGAGCTGTACACATATAACTCCAGCTTTTGGTAAACTCTGGAACTGGAATGCAGAAAAATTCAATGGGGCAGCTCAGTGGCTTGGCTGGCAGTACTGTTGCCTCACACCTCCACGGATGGGGGGACTGAATCCAGCCTTTGTTCTGTGTGAGCAGATGCTGGCCATTTTCCTTGTGCTGTGCAGGTTTTGTCTGTTTACTCCCACAATTCAAATACATGCAGTTAAGTTAACTGGCACTTCCAATTTTCCCCATTGTGTGAGTAAATGTGCACCCTGTGATGGACTGGCACCCTGCCCAGGGTGCATCTCTGCCTTGCCCTGTGCTGCCTGGGATAGGCTTCAGGCCTCCTACAACCCCGACCAGAGTGAGTGGATGGAAGATACATATCAACTAATTATTTTCATTCTGGATCTCAGAAGTGACAGAATATCAAAGGACATGAATTAAATATTTGCAGTTCCAAATGTTACCAAAATTAGTACAAGATGTAAACACAATACACAAATGGGTTGGGGGTGGTTTATAAGCTATGAACTAAACAAGCAATAAGAAAGCAAGCATTAACACCCGATACATACTTTCCTGAAAAGGTACTTTATGTTTTATGACCACCAGACAACTACTAAGTTTGGTACCTATTCAAACTATGAGTCTTATTAATCACAGGATAACTACCATTATCACTGAAAACTCATTATGAAACTTAAAATGGAACCAGTATTGTTGTAGACAAAGGATAACCACTTTACCGTGGTTTAAATATTGCAAATGCTCAGAATATACATAGTAAAATCAAATTATGTATATCACATATACATTAAAGAAGTAAAACGAGTCAACAGACAATCAAAAGGGATTACATTAATGCTTTCCAGTACGTGCGAGCCTCCCCTCTTCCACTAACCATGCATCCCCAGTCTCCATTATCCATATGCATCACTGCTGGCTTCACTGGGCCGTCACAGGTTGGGGAAGGCCTGTTCACAGCTGAGAATATCACTTGCATAAACAGAAGAATAAAATTCAACCGCTAAAGTATCACATATATAAGCCTTCCTTACATACTTTGCACTTAAACAAGCATATTTTGACACATAATAATCACGTATTTATATATATGTTATTATATAACTACAAAGATTATCAAAGACACAACAGAGGTCACCCGACTCATAATGCCGACAGATGTATACTGTCAACTCAGCGAGGTTAAAGACCTTTCTTTCAATACAAAAAATATTAACTGCTAAGAGACTGATCTCCTAATTCGACAAACGGGAGCTGCAATTGACGAAACAGTGAAACAGTAATACTTCAGGAGCAGCGATCTAAAATCGATAAACTTCACTCCAAATAAATGAAGACTGCCTCAATCCAAATGATGTGGCTTTCTTAATGTTTCAGGAAACGGTCATTAGATATTTGAGATGCATTTCAGACAATCTGGTTATAAACTGCTGGATGATGTGACATTTCTGGGCACTCTGACCTCTAATTGGCTTAGGTATTATTGCGACAAATGTTGGCTTTCCCAGTCAACTGATTGCTTACGCTCTCTACGGGTGATACGTTGCATGAAACAGGGTTTACCACGTTTGCATGCCTCGATTTTAAAACCGCAAACGCGCAGCAGCGGTTTTCAGACTTAAGAGACAATGCAATATATCAGTGTAACTGGCCAGCCGGATGATGCAGCCATGGCGTGTATACAATATTACCAGCATTAACTAGCTAGCTAGCTTACCTACCGAAGATACAAAGCAAGATATAGCTCTAGGCAACCGAGTGCACATATAAGTACCCGAGCAATAAAGAAAAAGAGCTTAATCATAGTTTACTCGCTTACCTTCTTAGTCGAATTATGCAGCTGCATTAGTCACCCTTTGAAAACAATACCGCACTTTGGTCCATATGGCATGGCAGTCGGGCCATTCAAGTCTATAGGGTTTGGATACGTTCAGCGATCAGCAAGTTGGCCGACAGGCTGAATAAAGAACTCCGCCCGCCTCTCGGGTCGTAGCAATATGAGGACAACAAGATACTAACCCGGAGTTACACTATTTACGGGGCAAGTGGAAAGACTATGTGGCGGACTGCAGACTGACCGAGTTTTTCGGTATTGCACCAGAAAGGTACTTCCGGTTGTAGTTTTCTTACGGCGTAATATATTGAAATTCTTATGTTGAGGCCCAAACATCCATATTTAAATTAAAAGCAGTTGCCAATTAAAGCAAGGCCAGTACAGATCTGTCTAGTAATTTCCTCATTTTGACATTCTGTCATTTGTTAAAGATTTTAAGCACACAAATGAAGCACACATGGGTTAAAAATGTAACCTTATATTTTTCCCAAAATACACAGAACAAAAAGTTTCAGCGAGAGATATTGCCGGTAACAGGATAAAAACTGTGAAAATTTTCCTATCTATTAGCATGTAATGTTCATCAATGAATGTGTAAAGCCTGCTGATACTGCACGATATAAGCACAAGGGCCCTAAGCAATGAAGACTACTTTTTCCAGTACAGCATTTTCCTAGTGGCTACCCATTTACTTAACACAGAGTTAAACTACCTGTTTGCAATCTGTGGTCATTTATACTGCTTAATTTGTATAACTGTATATTATTAAGCAATACAAATGTCTAAATATGCACCTATATACCTTATTTTATGATTAGCTCTCCATAAAGTATGGGAAGCAAGTCAACACTTAATAGGTTGTACTTAGATTGTCCCTGTTTGTGGATTTATAACCTCTTATTTTATTCTGATATTTATTCTTAAAATGTGTGCTCTTAAAGAAGTCACTTTGGCCAAAAGCAATTGGCAAATGAAAATTGTGTGTTTAACTTTGCATTACGGACTAATAAATAATAAGCAGTGATGAGGAGGGAGTATGCAAGATCAGAGCTTTCTATACACTGTTCTTATACTGAGATGGAAAAAAATATGTTTCAAGCATTTAGCAAACAGAGCATTAATGCAGTTTTGTTGTCATGAGGATAAAGAGCCTATGCTTATACCGGAGGGTAGGGAGGGTGAGGAATTCAATAACCAACTAGACATTCAGTGTCTTTTTCACAGAAAAAATGATGTCTTTGATCTGAGGTACACTGTTGTCCTCCAAAATCTTTGCGTAAGGCATGGGGATGTCCACACCAGTCACGCGCACAGCGGGTGCATCCAAGTAATTGAAAGCCGGCCCTGAAAGTAAAGAGGCACAAAGTATAAATAAAGATTATTACAAGTCATAAATGCAGCCTCTCTATTCTTAAAAAACAGACCAAGGCTGAAAAATACAAGTTTTACTTAGATCTAGCAGAAGAGTGCCTATAAATATTTATGGCAGTATTCTGAATTTGATTTAGACATTTTTCAACAAAGATTAAATCAAACGTTCGAGATCTGTCAAGTTGCCCTGTGTATCATCACCTTAACACTATTAAAACTCTATACACAACTTTTCAAACTAAATTTTTGACACAATCCTAAGGAGCCACTGCTTGAGAACCTGAAGTACTTCATGCATTTTGCCACTAACCAGTCAACAGTCTCTTACAGCCTCTTGTACATCTATAGTGTGGACTGGGAAGCACATAAGAGCTGTGGTCCTACCGTATTGAAAATAAATTACAGTTGTGGTTTGATTTACCTTTGGTAAAGTGACTTTCTATCCAAATAGTTATTTAAATAACAATTATTAGCCAAAGCAGAGGGAAAAACCAGCTCAGCATATCTCTCTCAAGGGCTGGATTTCTAGTTGACATTAAAAGTTTCAATAGCTTTCATAAGAGGCAATATCCGCTTTGTAGGCAGAAGTGTTGTCAGGGAAGGTACACAATTGGATGAAACTGATCACTCAGTACAGTAAAATATTTAACAGAATTAAATCTTTGAAACTTTCAAACTCTGGCTTCATAAGAGAATCTTGTGGTGCTAAAACCAGACATATGGATGCAGTACCATTTCCTTCTGTTCAAATTTTAAATTTTGTTATTTTTATTGAAGAAATCTACCCAAGCTAATTCACGTGACAGAATATTTCATTCAGGAAAAATATGTAGTTTTACCCTCCATGATCATGGCACAGATCTCTGCTCCAACACCAAACTGTGGCCATCCACCCTCCACTGTCACCAGGTGGTTTGTTTTCATTACACTTGTCTCTATGGTTTCCACATCCATAGGCCGAATGGTACGAAGGTTAATTACCTGAAATTGGGAGGGTAGGAGAGAGGACAACAGCAACTGAATATGGAGGTGGCTAATCTGGCAGCATAATCCTAAACTAATTTTTGAGGGTTGGACATGAACAGTGGGCAAGCCAACATATACCAGAAAGGCCTGGGATAAGAACTGACCCTGCAGTATAATGTCGCAATAAAGGCTCATGAGTTTTCATGATGCAATATAAATGGAAACCAAATGTTGGCAACAAATTCAGTTATTAGAGGCACTAAGAGGAAAAAAAACTTCAGTAATGCTGAAGTATTAATACAGTAAAATCCCATTATAGTGGACTCGCTTATAACGGAATATCGTCTATAATGGAAATGCTCCACCCATCTGCTCTTCTGCCCTTCCTCGTCTGGTATCGCTCTTCCTTCCTTGTCTTTGACTGGTCTCTCTGGCTCTGCAAACTTTCCTGAAAGTTTCTTTATAGTAGCGTACAGGTCTCTTGTGTTGCCATGATAAGCTGCTTCTTCTGCTTCTATCGCTAATGTCTCTATAAACTTCCTTTTATCTGCCTTGATATTGCGTTTAATGTTTCTATGGGCTTCCATATCCTCTTCTTGTGCTTTGATTTTTGCTGCTCTTGTTCTGCTAATGTTCATGGCAGTCTTCTTTTCTCTTCTTACTTTAATCTTCTTTAATGTCTCTTGTGATATACATTCCTTGTGAGTGTGTGATTTGGAGTTCAGTATTTCTTGGCATGTTGATGTAATCACTTTTTTTGGTCTCTGCCACTTCTGTTCTATGGTCTCCTCTTCTGGTAGTTCTTCTAAAACCTGGAACTTATTGGAAAGGGTGATCTTGAATTATTCTTGTTTCTTGTCTTTCAGCGCGGTGGTGTTATAACGCTGGCGTTGACTAGACTGTCTTATCCAGTTTCTCTTTAGCTTCAGCTTCAGTCGGGCGACCAGGAGGTGGTGGTCTGAACCAATGTCTGCTCCTCTCCTGACGCGTACATCCTGAAGTGTGCGGCGAAACTTCCTCGTGATGCACACATGATCGATTTGATTTTCCGTCGATAGATCTGGTGAAACCCAAGTTGCCTTGTGTATCCTTCTATGATGGAAGACACTTCCTCCGATGACCAAGTTGCTTGTGGCACCCAGTTCAGCGAATCTCTCCCCGTTTTCGTTCATTTCTCCTAAGCCCTGCTGCTCCATAATCTCCTCATAGCCCCGGTTGTCGCTGCCTATCTTGGCGTTAAAATCACCCATCACTATGATGATGTTTTTCTTTGGCCTCCCTTGTATGATGGTCAACAGTCTGCTGTAAAAGTCTTCTTTCCCCTCCTCTTCACTGTCGTTTGTTGGGGCATAACACTGGATTACGTCCATGTTAATCCACTTCTTCTTTGTACGAAAGGAGGCCATCATAATCAAAACATAAAACAGACCTATTTATAATCCGCATGATCGCTGTTACTACCATGAAAATAATTTTTACACTTTATAATTATTTTTTATATTTTACTTTTATAAATTATTCAAATACTATCACTTTATGAACTGTAGAATGAACAAAACTGCTATAACCGATTCTTTTGAACAAACTCATTACTCATTACTAAAAGGTGCATATGAATGGTCTTGAGTGTGCATAGATTCTGTTCTTAGCGAAGAACAAATTCAGATAAGAAAACATTGGTGAATGTCAGAATCTTCATAAAAAAGTGCGTATGTGGGGTTTAAGAACAAATTTGTTCATAAGAACGGTTGGTGAATGAGGCCCATTGCTCTGCTAGAATTTCAGGTGGAGGATATCAACACAACAAATTAGACTGCTCAACTTGCGAGACAGTGAAGAGTATGAAGAGTTTCTGAAAAATAAATCGTACGGTACTACCGTCAGTAATGCAAGCATTTGATAGCAAAAGAAAATTAATTACAGAAAGTGCAAAATCAGAAGATATTACTTTGAAAATTACAGAGTTTATCACACTCGATGATCAGCCCTTCTCTGTTGTAGATATTATAAATATATAAGATGTATATAGTTATAAAATATAGTGCTCTGGAGCTGTTGCATGACAGTCAGTGTTTTCTTACCAAATAAATACTTTTTCAAATTTTTGGAATGTAATTAATTTATTTTTTAATTTATTTCAGTGGAGTGTCCCTTTAAACTTATTTAAGCAGAACCTCCCAAGCATGCGATATCGGTGTCAGTTTTCAAAATAATCAGCTATCGTTATCGGTCAGAAATCTTCTTTACTGGAACATCACTAGAATAAACGCCAAAAAACCAGTTTGAAAAAGCTGTCAGTTTTAATGCAGAACATTTCCCAAATATCTTTTATTAGTGGGATTTCCAAAATAAAACAATAAATTAGAAACATTTGTATAAAAATACAAAATAGCTGGAACTAAGATTAAATGGTTTGCAATTTTAGTTTACATTAAATTTTGCTCAAAATAATTTCAAAAGGTGATGGAAAGAAATCATTGTACCCTTTCTGCTGGGGAAAAGAATCAATTTGTAATCTATATAATACTGCATATATTAACACGATAACTCATAATGGCAATTAAGGCCTAATGAGTTAATTAGGGTCAGGGACCTACCTAAAAAAATTCAGCATCACTGGACAAGTTACTATTTTCTTTGTTCCTATATTTTGACGTTCAAGAAATAAAAAGTAACTCTGCATTAACATTTGCAAATATGTTGTTTTTTTAAGTGTTGTTTGCTACTTTTCACTTACATAATTAACTGAATATGTAATTTGGCCAGGAGTGCCTGAACTTATGCATACATCGGGCCGTAGCCTAATGAGCAGCTGGTGGTCTAGTGGTTAGGACGCTTGCCTCTGGACCAAGAGTCCCACTTCTGGCACTACCATCATTGGGTCCCTGAGCAAGACCCTTAACCACAACTTTCCTGAATTTAGAAAAATGGCTCTGGATAAGAGTGTCTGCTAAATGCTGTAAATGTAAAATGTGACACTCTCAAAGG